AAAGCCTTTCATTCTATTACAATAAAGATTAAAATTAAAAAAGGAAAAAATTATTAATAAAAAATTGAAAAAAGAAGTTAGAAGAACGAAAAGATTGAAAATCGAATCATAAAGAACTAAAAATTAAATAATTTATAAGATTAATAATTAATACAAAGAAAAATATTAAAAGTACTCATTATTTATATGATAATTCTCAAAATCTTTTCATAGTAATAAAGCCATTGACAATATTAACACCTTCCATTAACAAAGTTAGGAATTATTATAGAAAGGTATATCTCAGTTATCTTTAAAGAAGATATATGTGGAATAGTAAAACTATGAAGGTCGTACTAAAACTACTCTAGGATTATAGAGTTGATGAGTATTAAAATTTTAATCATTTTATATTAGTTTATTTTCATTTTGTATTTTTCTTATTAATTTAATGAAAATTATTACTTTTATTTTATAAAACAAAACTTAAAATAATAATATTAAATACTATAAATAGAGTAATACCTCAATTTTTATTACATCATTCATAAAAAAGTTGAACTGTTAATAAAAAGAAAACTAAAATTAAATATTTAAAAAAATAATGAGTACTGACCAAGAAGAACGATTAGCATTATTACAAGAGCTACAAACAACTTTCAACATGGTGAAAATCCAAATAGAAGAATTTATGAAAAGTGAAAAAGATTATAACGCAATTTGTGAAAAAAGATTTAAAGAAGAAGAAATTGTTGATGTTCAGAATGAGAGTTTAGAAGACAGAATTAAAAGAATAGAAGGAGTTTATGATAGAAAAGAAGAGCTAGTTAGAAGAAACGAAATTGTCAACTACCAAATTAAAGATGGGATTTTAATGTTAAAGGCAATGAAAGAGGTTTACCAAAAACTTGAAGAGATTAGGCTCAATGACTATGAAGTCTTGTCAAAACAAATGGATACTATTATTGCAAAAGTTCTTGAGACAGAAAAGGAAAGAACTAATAAACTAATCAGTGAAAGTCCTTACAGAAAGTGTAGGTATCAAGGAGAACTAAATAAAACGATCAAAGAATGGGAGAGTAGAAAATTGGAAGTAAATTTTCTTTTATTGTGCCAAATCAAACAAATAGAAGAATGGACAAATAGAAAAGTATCCAATATACTATTTGATTCAGATATTGATGATTGGAATTATAATACATCAGTATTTAAACAAAGAATAATAAATAAAAAACATATAACAATTATTATTGAAGATGAAGATGGAAATAAATTTGGAGGATATGTTAATATGAAAATTGATAATGTTGGTTGTAGGATAAATGATTCAAATGCATTTGTATTTTCATTAGAATCAAATGGGAGAATACAAGAAATGATGAAATTTGATATTAAAGATCCACAATATGCATTTGGGTTATATAATCAATTAGATGGTGGTTTGTTTGAATTTGGAGGAAATGATATTTATGTTTGTAAAGAAAATAATAAAACAAAATCGTGTTGTAAACAATCTTCCTTTGAATATAAAGGAATATCAAATGTACTTTGTGGAAGGCAATGTTTCACACCAGAACGAATTATTGTAATTGAAATGAAATGATTTTTATTCATTATTATTATTTATTTGAATA